AAACTGCATTTTTTTTGGCGCGCACTTCAAAACTAGTAAATATTGGCGGTCCGTCAGCCAAAAATGGATATCTCAAATAGCACAAAGGGGGGATCCTTTGGGTCGGCAGAAGATCGAATCCCTGAGAGGAAGGGCGCCCGCCCCGCTCCTCCCCTAAATGCGCCCCTGAAAGCGCAGTGTTTTGATAAATTCTGGTTTTTGCACAACATTTATGAGAGCTCCAAAAACCGAAGTAGTCGTCCTAAAAATTTCAACCCCCGACCATCCACGCAAAATTGTAATACTTCCCAGACTTTTGCCTAGTAATTTTTATCCAAAAGAGACTGATTCAGTTTTGCAATGCTTTAAATAGGCTCTTCCCCCCCCCTCCCTCCCTTCCACACACATATTTGAGTTTTAGTTTTGAAAAACTATTTTAACGCTGTCATAATGTATGGAATTTGACATGGTAAACAAACTAATTCTTGCGAACAGATTTGTTCTTCGTAACTTACATCGCAACATCACGTGTTTAGCCATAATCATACGTAAAACCACAAGAAAAATCACCATTTGATATTTGGGGGGTGGAAAAGAGCTTTTGAAAATACCAAAAACTACAACTGAAAAAAAAACAGTAAAATGCTAGTTAATTGATTCCATTTTTTGCCAGCAGATTGCAAAATTAGAACCTTTTTTTATTTCAACCAGAGCTCACTTTATAATGCTAAAAATTTGCATCTGGAGGAGAAGATAAGATTCGGATATTTGAAACGTTCAACATTTTTGGCTCTTTTTCCTCCCCCCCCCCCCCCCCCCTCCACCTCACGAGAGTGGTTTTAGAAGATTGATTATGAAGACCAAATATGTTTGTCAAGGCCTAGTCAGTCTGCATTTCAATTTTCATGACAATCGGACAATGTGAACGGTAAATTTATTTATAAAAATTTGCAGGCGGGGGAAAAGGAATGAGAGCCCACTGTTGGACAAAAAAACACACAATTTTGCTTTTTTAAAAAAAATGAGAATTTTCGGGTGTTATATTTCTTTTTCACCTTCCTCCGTACCTGAACTTTAATTTGTAAAAGCGATTTAAACGTTCCTCTGGTTGACAGGTGGTAGATCAGTAAGTCGATGTATCAGTAAACCAAAAACAGACGGACTAGATCAGTAAACCAAAAATTCATGGGGGTGGGGGGGGGGGGTGGGGGTTGATGTTAACTTGATCGAATGGAAATTAACTGTTCCCATGGGCCCCGTAGTTTTGAAATTTATCTTCTAGCTTAGGAAACAAGTACATTCTATAAATTTTAAAATCCGCAATTGATGTAATTGTTACGAAATCGGTTTAATGATCTGGCAATTTACTGACACATGGATTTACTGTACGAACACGAGCCGATCAATGCAGCTCCAGGATGTAAAACGTAACATAGGTCAAACATACACATTTTTGAGCCATTTAAAACCTATATTTGAAAAAAAAAATGAATTATTCATTCAGATCTGTGCGAATTACCACAACAAAAATTGTCTTCAATGGTTCTGCCTAAAAGCGATGCATATCTTTTTGAAATTTAGCTTTCATTCTGCGGCTTCCCGCTACCTCACATAGCATTAAGTTTATAGGGTCAAGAGGAGTTTTACAAAGTTAATTACGAAGATCAAATAGGTTTGTAATTAATTAGCATGGCAATTTGGCTCTTCCCCCCCCCCCCCACCTGCAAAATTTTGCAAATGAAAAATTTGTTCAAGTTATTCGATTGTTATGAAAATTGGCATACGGACTAATAAAGCCATTTCAAACATGTTTGGTTTTCATAATACACCTTGCCTTGTAAAACCACGCGTTACACCAAAAAATTGATGCTCGTGTGAGGTTGGGGGGGGGGGGGAGGAAAAGGGCCTTGTAAAATTTTGCAGGTGGGGGCAGGGGTGGATTTAGGATTTTCTGGAGGGGTGGATTGTCAGAAACTTTTCGAAATTTTTGTCGATTTTTTTTTGTTCGACCAAATTGATTTTCCGAGCTCTCCCAAACAGTAAAAGACCCTGTTTTGGTTGAGACCTTGTTTTGGCTGTTTTGCGTTGCAGTCAAAATTTTGAGAAAACAGGCAAAAAGAGGCGTTTTTAGCCTCTTATTGGAAAACTTTGACAAAAACTCGCGCTTTTTAGGCGCGTGCTCTCCGCCCAAAATTAGTATATATTGGCGCCCAAAATTACTATAAATTGATTTAGGGTCCGTCACCAAATATGGATATTTCAAAATAGTACAAAAGGGGGACCCTGACACTCACACCCCCTTCTCGCTCCCCCTAAATCCGCCCCTGGGTGGGGAGAAAGGAAAAAAAGCCCATTCTGAAAATTAACCCTGCGATAAAAACTACAGACCTCTCAGCCTAGCAGAAAAAAATATAGCCCTACCCCTTAAACAGTCGCTGTACTGATGCAGTAGTGTAGTTGAATCTGATGCAGTGGTGCAGTTTTGGGAAACGGTACTAAATTAATACTGATACTGATTTGAACTGCAATACCGAAAAAGTGGGTTGAGAATTTTCCAACTTTCCAGCACTACGTTAGTAGTTTTTGATAACCAAATTTGGCTCTTTTCCAATTACCCCCCCCCCCTTTTGATAATTTCTGAAATTCAAAATATGAAAGTCTATTTAAAATGAATTTTCATGCTAAAAACTGCCTTGAAGCGTGTCAGCTTGAACAGGTGAACAAATTTTTACAGCACTTATAACGTGCAAAATGCCGTATGAGCATTTTTTGAACACTTCTATTTTGACTCTTTACGAAGGGGTGGGAAACTGGAAACGAGCCCAAAATTCCAAGGTTCTTCTCCACTCTACAACCCCCTGTACCCTATTCACCCAATTTTTCAAATAAAACGCGTTGTGTTACAATATAAAGTATGAAGAAGAAATCTGTTCACAAAAGTCAAGCGTATTATGACAGGATTTAGGTAAATGAAACTGAACTCGAGCCACTGCCTAGCGATCTGACTCGCCTCGAAAGACCTTCTTTCTAAGACCTTGTTTGTCGCCCTGCATGAGGCTTTTGAACTCAGACCTGGCTGCAGCTTGACTCTGGAATGTCATCAACTGCTGATCAAGCTTGTGTCGTATTTCAGCCAAGATTCGCAAAATTCGGATTAAACGGGTCCGCGAAAAAATTCCAGGAAGCATATAGTGGCGATGAAGTGGTGGTAGAAATATGATTGATATTATTTTCAAGGAGGGGCAAAAGAAAGGGAAAGGAGTGAGAGAACGGGATACCAACTGAGTTCGGACGTGCCATCGGAGATCGGGAAAAGGCGGAACTAAGACTCGGAAGTAAAACTGTAAAATTTTAGGCCCAAGGAGAGTGTCGACTGCAGGTCTAAAACTCAATCCAATTGCTGTTTCGCAAAATTCTAAATTAGAATTTAAACTTAGTAAACTTGGGGGAATGTCGTATATAAACATTTTATATGATGACTACTTTTGAGTTAATTGAGTTTGTTTATTGGCGCCATCGGTGCTGTCTGCGACCCTGGATTGATTTAATTAAGTACCTGGCAGTTTGATATTGAGAGTATGTGGGATCTGAAACAGTTGAAGTTGTGATGATTTAAATTGTAGTTGGAGGAATGTTTATTCAGAATTAAATTATCGATTTGACGGTTTTCTCGGAACATGAGATCGGAACATGAGATTGCATGTCCAGGTCACAAGATGTTTTTTGGGTATTATTCATTAACCGACTACAATGAGTTTCATTAGATTATTTCTTTTTCTTAGAAAAAATTTTTGTTTGAACTACTTCTTGTGTTCAAATCTCTTGTTAGTAAAATTCCTTTTCATTAAATATCTAAATTTAATGGACGCTAGTTAAAGAAAAAAAGGTGCCTGAGGAAGAACGATCACAATTTATTTGAAAATTTTCTGAGTTTGCCTTCTTTCTGGCAAAAAAATAGGTTAAAATTTTCTTTCGAACAATTGAAGCGCAGACCAAAATTTGTATCCAAACAAATTCTCTATTCTTTTGCATACAATTATTATATTTTGCGAGTGCATACCAAAACTCCATACCATAACTTTTAACCGAAACTTGTATTAATCTTGTATTAATCTAGAAACCGAAACTTGTAATAATCAAATCTTGTTTGTCTAGTCAGCTTGTCTGAAACGAACTGGAACATCTTTTTTTTCTTTGCTGCATACTTTTTTTATATGTCTTAGGCAAAAACAATACTGATCCAAAAACAGATTTCGAATAAACACTATCTTAAAAAAACGTATGTTATAAAGCTCATTTTTTCGATATACTGAGTGGACAACTTAGAAAGTTTTAGGCTGATATCAATGCATATTTCGAGCAAGATCTTCCAAACCTCAAGGGTTTGAATGAACAATCAGAGATTTGTCACTTGTTTTCAGTCACGGACACAATAAAAAAATTATATTGAAAAACGTATGGACATGATTTTTGGTTTATGGAAAAGTCTGATCTCTCAATTTCCATGTGTGCAAAAATAATCATCATAGATTTTACATTAACTTTTTTTGTACAAATGAAAAACATGTAAATTGTTTGATTAGTGTTTTTCCATATAAGGAAATTGTAGGGTTATCAATTTTGGTCATTCCGGGTGACATAGCAATTACGAAAGAGCAAAATTTTAATAATTTAAAGAGGAAGGATGAGACTATGCCTAGTTTCTTCTTATGTGTTTACCTTTTTGTCAGATTGTTTTCTTGGTTTTTTAAACAATGCAAAATAGTTTCAGAGATTAAATGCACATCAGAATTAAAATTTGTGGTTTGGTTCTATTTGGCAGTCTTTTTGATAGCTACCAGCAAAAACAGAAATCCCATAAAACTTTTGAAGGCAGATGTTTTGAACAATTTCAATGCTTTCATTTCTTAACTCTGAAAATGAGAGCGGATACAAGTTTGGAATAAACACCTGCACTGGTAAAAAAAAACTGACAAGCCGCCCCGGATAGGATAACATCTGCCAAATGGAGAAACCAGTCTTCGATTTTAGACTACGTACCAAATACAGACCATTTGGCAAAATATTTGACAAATGTTGAGCAAGTTGTGATTTATTAATGGTTGCGAAAGCCAACTGTAAAATATTCCTAGTAGTTGATTATAAATCTGAAATGTTTCAAATTTTTCTTAAATGGGTGAATTTTCTGATTTTTTTGTTTGCTTTCAATGCTGATGTTGCTAAGGCAGTACAGTTCGAATCCGAGTGTCTTCAAAACTTGTTCAACTGTGACATTTCGGTTCCGAAACAATTCGGCAAGCAACTTATGACAATATACTACACTGGGTTATCCGAGTCGATCTGTCATTACAAGGCGGCAATGATCAAAGCTGACTCCCACATGTACTGTGCCGAAGGAAGTTTTTGTGGATTGATGTTGGATAATGATCCAGCAAAACATATCCAGATTGAAGATGTGGACCAGGTGAAGATGTGCAAAGTATACGGCAGCTCAAAGGAAAATTGCGAGTAGGTTCAAAATCTACTAAAAGTCTGTGTGGTTTTTAATCTGAGTGAATACAAAAATGGATATACATGAATGAATTATTTGCGGCAAATTGTTCACTGCTTTTTATAGAAGGTCTCAATTTAGAAAAATATATGTATTTTGAGGCACTAAGTGGAGCTTTTTTATCGTTTGCAGAACTATTTGCTGTTTCAAAAAATTGTAAAAATGTGACAAAAAGAAGGAAATTTTCGGCCGAACGAATAGATTAATCTGCAACTGTCTGTAAGACCCCAAATAGTAACCCCAAGTTTTCTTCTCAGCCATTTTCTGTGAGCAATTTTCAGCAGCCATTTAGGTCGACTTCAATTTTTTCGATCATGTCATTGAATCGCTCGATCTCGACCCTTACTGATTTTGGAAGTTTCCACAAATACATAATCATATCGAGTAAGAGATTATCTTTAAAGCCACCTTAACTGTTTTTACAGCTTGCTAGTTTCAAAAGATAAAAACTTCTTGGGCTAATTTTTTGCATTGTCAAGGATATTTACTATGGTTCCCCAAATATGGTTCCAGCCTTGTGAACTTAACTGTTTAAGGCACGTGGTTACTCGCATTACCCTGACGGGCGGAAATCAGTGTCCGAATATCGACAACCCGTGTCACAAGACGCAACAGTGCGACGACTCCGTAATTGGAGGATTCCAATGCCGATGCGACCCGAATGACAGCTCCCTGGCCGATTTCAGAGGTGCATGTTTGGATGCATCGATATGGCGCCAAGTCGAACTGAACCGACTTGGGTTCAAGGCGGTTCACCTAGCCCATGAACCGATGACCTATGACAATGCAAATGAGTACTGTGCGGGATTGGGAGCAGTTTTGCCGAACTACTTCTTGCAATATGATGCACAAAAATTGAAAAGAAATGTTCTAACGGATGAAATGTTAGTTTTCGATTTTGAGCTTTTGTTCTAATATATCATAAAAATTTCTGTCAAGTGTAATGCATTATGACCGAGGTTTAACTCATAGAATAATTTCGGATAGGGTACACCGTCTGCTCGTCACGCTATCTTATTTTCGGCCGGATAGATTCGTGCAACTTCTTAGTCTAATACCGATCCTAATCTTACTCTTATATCTACTAGTCTCAGGGTGTTTAACTAGTCTCTGCTAGGCTCAATAGATCTAGAGTATACTGGCTTATTGCGATTGCTAGAAGGTCTCTTGGAGAGGCAACTAATTTCTAAGTTAAATTCAAATATCTCTGGTGCCGAAGTTACAAGTAATTTTAGCACTTACAAATAAGTGGGATGTTAGTTAGATGGATCATGATTGGTTAATATTAAATATTTTAAAGTGATAAAATATCCAATTTATAACCAATAATAAAATGTAGTTTAGATCTGGTTCCACCCATCCGGGGCTTACAGAGTTTCGAATCTTTTATCTTCTATCTGTAATGAAGGATGCATGATGGTCGTTGGTATTTGGCCAGCATCATTTCTTGTTTCGTTCTTGGAGAAGAAAGCTCCAGGAAGCTGGAGTCGTCGATAGGAAGATGTTAGTTGTTTGTTCGACGATGGCTGCGACTGCCGGTGAAATCAATCTGATTTCAAAATGGTTTCCTATGATTGTTTGTTCTGGTTGGGTGGAGAACTTGATCGAGTATCACTCTTGTCTGGGAATGGCGTGAAGATCGTGTTTGGAGGGAATGCCTTGTAACTCGGATCTGTACGTATACTTGAACATCGAGGTGGTCATTGGTCTGATTCAATGAAGTCCTTTTCTGCGAAGTCAAGTCGTACTCTAAATCCTTTTTTGACTCGTGATTGTGAGCGGCATGTCGGTTGTGTTTAGCCATTCTGTAGGTTGAGTGTGATGGTGTCGTCTAGTCTTTGGATGCTCGTCTTTGCGCTTCTTCGCGATCTATGTACTGGATATTATAATTTACCTTTTATAAAATTTTGTTAATTCTATTTTTTAGTTATGATTTTGGTTAAATGTTTTCGCAAAAGCGTTTTAGTTTTAGTTCAGTTATTTTTAAGAGTTACTCACCCTTGAGTACCTCTTAACAAAATATGATGTGGTCACAAAGCGTGGATGTAGCACGGTGGGTTAGGCCGGCTATAGAGCATGCTCAGGACGTCCTCTCTGGTGGGTTAGGCCAGGAGTGAGAGTATGATTTCATGCTGGTGTTTTAAGGGGTCCTGTTTTGTGCTAACGTTTTTGTTGTATTATTTCTAGTTTTCCTTTTGTTACTTTGGTTGAGTCTTTTTCTCAAAAATCAAATTGTTTTTTGTTTGGGTTGTCTTGCGACTTTTTGGTGATTTATTATTTCTTTTTTAGACTTGGTAATAGTCTTCAAAAGAATAAACTATCCAGTTTTAAGCTGGTTTAACCTGGTTTGGGTACCGTAGGTGTTCTTTTCTCATTCATGCTGTCTGTTAATTTGTGGTTTATGGTGTTTAGTTAGCTGCATTGGTTAATTTGATTATTCTATAATTCCATTCCAACCGGGTTAAAGGAAAAGTTGGAAACTTGTTATCGCTTGTTTGAGTTGTTGTTAGTGCAAACTTATAACTTAAAATTCATTGTTTTAAACAATTCGTCGTGGGCGAGTTGTGCGATTGTGGATAGAATTCTTGTGCGGGTGAACAGGAGATATATAAAAGGTTAGTACTGAATTTCCTTGTATAAATTTACTACTTTAAAATTAAATTTTACTGCTTTGTGGGGATTGAAAATTGTTAATTGATTATCATCGTATTGAATTTTACTACAATTAGGGAAATAATGTATAAATGAATTTATTGCATTCGAATTGAATTTTACTGCAACATTTAGTGCTATAGGTTTAACAGAGTTTATTCTGAAAAAGAGTCTGTATTTTCATTTATTTTTTCTTCTTGTTGTAGGTGATTATGGGTGAAGACTAAAGAAAATGTAAACTAATTATAAAGAATGGTTAGTTTTTATTTTAAATTAGTTAGTCGTAAAATATTAAATGCATACTTACCTTAGTCGTCGGGGAAAAAGCCTTGAGGGAAAGCCTTGAGGGAAAGCCTTGAGGGAATAGCATCTGATGTAGTTAGTAGTTTTGCTATTGTGCGTATGTTATTTTTAGTTTGCAGCATTGGCCAAAGCAATTGAAGCGCTTTTATGGTTTTTAGTTCTTCGGTGCCTACTGCAAACTCATGAGTTGTGTTCTGGATTAGATTGTAAATTTGATGATTGTATTTATTGTTGTGGATGAATTTTGAAATGGGTACTTCTATAGGTTGAATATATTCAAGCGGGACTATAAGGGGACGGTATTCTTCGTCGTTGAAAGTCTTGGCGCGGGGACAAAATATATACATTTGGATGATCGGGTCGTAATTCCGGAGGATGCCTTGAAGGGCAGTATTTTTAATACAATACGTGAAGTTTAGGGAAAATGGTGATGTTTATTTAGAGTTGATAAACTGAAATCTGTGGTGGGGCTGTCGCGATGGTGTGTGTAAATGAAAATGATTTTGGATAAATCGATAATAAGTGTAGGTGTGCGTTTGTTTAGTTCGTAACATGATGTCGTGTGAACAGTGCAAATCACGTTTTTTTGGTGTGAGAAAATGAAAGGTTAGTGAAAATGTTTGAAATTTTTCGTGAAATGATTCGTATGCTTGAATATCTGATATGCTTCTGAAATAATGTGATCATGCTTTTTATCAAGTATGTTAAGTGTGAATAAGTAGGGTGTTTTAATGAAAAATTTTTCTGTTAATTGTGTGTTTGCAAACTGATCGTCGTCAAAAAATTGGTCTTGACTAGATCTAATGATGTTATAAAAAATCGTTAGCTCGGGGTGCAGTGAATGTTTTTAAGAATTTTTTTATATCTTACGTATGTAAATAGTCGGGGTGTGAGTGCTGTGGTTAATCTGAATAATTCGTCCTGATTTCTCTCAATATCTTTTGTGGTGTTATAGAGTGGTAGCGTAAGGGTTTAGTAAAATTATAATAAGCTGTCCAATGAAGTGTGGGTTTTAATACATGTTCATCTATAAAGTGACGTGGTTCAGGTTTAGGGTCGGATTGATTTAGTGTATATTGGGGAAATAAAGGTAGGGTTATTTGAAGATAATTCGTAGTATTTGTGTCGTCTGGGTGGTTTATATATTCTCGGGTGGTTCCGGGTTTGGATGGGAACGGGTGATTTGGGAATTTTCGTTTAAAGGTTCTATAAGCTCGGTTAGTACTAGTGGATGTTTTTGTTTATGTGGATGATTGAGCGGGTGATGGAGTGTTATCTGAAATTGGTGTAGGTGTTGGTGGATTTGATGATGTGATCGTTGACGATAGTTGGTGAATGGTGAGAGTGTGGGTAGATAGTAACTGTTGTTGTAATGTTATAAAATTATCCAATTCATTAGAAATTTGAAAATTATCTGGGGAGTTGTTGATAGATCGTTCGTTATAAAATGGGGAGTAGGTTGGGGTTACTTGAGAAGGAATTTAGGGAGATGTACATTGATTTTGAGGTTGAATAGGTTAAAAAGGGGGTTTTGAGAAGGTTGAGGAGATGGTTTGGGTGTGGGTAGAAGGAGATGATTCGGAGTCTGCAAATTCATCGGGAGTTTCTACATCGGAATTATTAAATTGTGATATTGTTCAAAAAATTGTGATATCTGAGTTAGTATCAGAATTCATGCCTGATGATATATTAGTTCGTGGTGAATCAGATGGCGGGAAAGCAAAAAGTGGGACAATATGGATGGGATTTTGGAGGTTGGCAGGGTGGTAGTTTGATCGGTGGAGTGATCCAATTTGTCTGCTCATCGTGGGCTGAAAAAATGATTTTTTTTGAGATTGAAAGGTGGTGGTATGGGGCTGTTCTATAATTTGTTCATATGTATCGTCATTTTGGGGGCGTTGTGTTACTATATGTTGAATAGGGCTTTGTACGTGACTTAGTCTTAAGTTTGGGGGGTTTGTGATTGCTAAGTTCCTAAAATTTCGTGAGTCTAATGATAATGGATGGTTAAGATAGAGGTTTGGTAAGTGTGGTGCTGTGAGTAATGCATTTGTGTGATGGTTTCATTCGTCGTATGTGTTCGGGTTTGTTGATAGTTTTGTATTGTATTCTTTGATTTGTGCGTCTAAGAGGATTTTATTTTTTGATGATGAAAACATTCCAAAAAATCCTGCAAAAAATATGCGTGCTACGCTTGCTTGTCGGTTTACTTGTGTGTGTATCGCACATGTGTTATAGATTCCTTTTAGTAGTGAGAAAACAAATCCAATGAAGTTAAACATAGCGTGTAAGATAGTCAATCTTTCGAAGATGTAATATGGTCATCCTAGAAAGGCAAGGATTTCGTTTTTTAAGGTTACAAAATTAAAAATATTTATTGGTGAGATATCTTTTGGTCTATATTTTTCACCGTTTAAATATATGTAACCTTTAATATCTTTAAAATATCTGCTGTAGTCTTGTGTATAAATGTCTGAAAATCCTGCGGTTTCTGCAAGTTTTCTTAAGTTTTGATCTATTGATTGTCGTTGTATGGTGTCCATTTGTGTTAGTAGTACCTGAAATTGTTGTGTACGAATGTGATGTTGTATATCTGATTTAGAGTAGATTCCTATTGATTGTAGATCAATATTAGGATTTCGAGCAATAGTTCGAATACTTTCAGGTGAAAACTTTTTCAGTGGTTGCATTAATGTTGGATATTGTGTGAGTAGATAGTATTTTTCTTCGTCGGGATTTAATTGTACGACGTTGTGGCTGTTTTTTGATACAGATGGTACTGCGGTATCCCAAAATATGTTCGTCTTGAAAGTGTATCAACAAAATGAACTTTATTTTTATAGAATATTGGGATTTTTTGTAACAACGTTTATCTTCAAAAACATATAATGGTGATACTTTTTTGGTGCAAGTATAAAACCATAATATA